GCGGTTGTTTCAAATTATGAAATGAAAATCGTTCTTCACTTTGATGTTAATTAAAATTTTACAATAAAAATTGATCAGTAATACTTTTCAAGAATGGAACAAGGATTGCAACCACCATATGACCTCTACAATCAGAAAATTTTGCACAACTAAGTAATATTCTACATTGCATTGAAAAATTTATCAGTTTATCTTAAGTATTGTACGAAAGTTTTGATTCCCCCGTTTTTGGGAGAAATATTGGAGCACCATCATATATGGCACCAACATTAAGTTCACAAAAGTCTGGTATCGAAGTACCATCGAAGTATATGCAAGATTTGTTATCGAAATCGCAAAGATGAAGTTCAGATTGCAATGTTGCGAAGCCAGAGTCTCTGAAATTAAGACTGAAATTCAATAATCCAATACAAAGGGTTGCTACTTCACTTAATAGTAAAACTTCTAAATGAGCTTTGTCTCCTGGAAGGTCGAATTTGCCTCATGTGTTGATGCAGAATAGAGGAATCTTTACATCGAATATTAAGCCTCCGACGAGTCCTTCGAAGGGAAAAAATGTTGGGAATTCCTTAGCATGGGGCTTGAATTGCTTAAAGGTAAGAATTTTTATTTTTTTTTGCAGTTGAAGCTGCGGTGGAGGCTTCGGTTTGGCTCCCAAACCCATGCCATTTTCTTTCTTCTTTTTCACTTTTTAGTAACAAAATAAACCAAAAGTAGGACCAAACTTCACAATTACTCCACTTCCCTTCCTTGCTTCGAGGAGGTTATATAATAGTAACAAAAGGAGACAGGTATAGAATAGAAGTCTCCGCTTAGTCCTGGCATAACGGAGAGCGTTCATTATTTGAGGATACTTCATAATAAATTGTTGCAGTGGAGATATATAAATACCAGAGCTGATTCAATCCGTCACAACTCAGTAGACAAGTTGAGGTCAGTCGCGGAGCTAGAAATTTTACTAATTGTTTATTTGGTTTTTCTCTTAGGCAAACTTAGTATATGCTTGGGATTGTCTAATGAAAATGAGAATCTGTGCTACAAAAGAAGTTGCAGCTACAGAGGAAAAACATGGAAATGAAATTGAGTTTTGTTCTTTATTCTCAAGTAAGAACTGATTTACCCTTGATGAATATCGGTCAGACAGTAACAAAAATCATCACAACAATTAAAGGTATGATTTTTTCGCGATGTATTGTGCAAATAAAGTTACTAGAAGCATGGGGTTCTATGGAAAAGCAGCATTCTTCAGCAGTGTCAAGTTCCCTAGATTGTTTACAATCCGCAGTCTGTAGGGTTCCTCTCATTGAAGGAGCCACGGTAAGTCCATTGGCAAACCAGAAAAAATCGTTAAGGTTGTTCATGATTTAATATACATATCTAAAAAGTAACTTTTGATCTGTATATACTAAAAAATATTCTTTACTTTATAATTTTTCATTAGAGAGTGTTTAACTAACCACCCTTCACTTTATGTGGCTACGTATAAGCCATAGAGTATTTCACTGACAAGATTAAGCCTGTAAATGGAGCCACAATCGGCTATTATTGCTCTTTAACATGCATCAAATGTACCTTCATTGATCAAGGTAAGTGTATGTTCGTTGTCACTTTCTGTTTATCAATTTTTCTGGTGAAATAGACCATATGAAAACATAGATAACTAGAGATCAAAATCAAGAATTCATTTACGGGCATGTCGAACCCCTCTTTCTATGGTTGAGTTATCCCATGACTGCTAGATCAGGAAGAGCCAACCATACGTAGGAGGAGACAACTAATTAATGGATGTCACTGTTAAATTTCTTTTAATGCTATTGCAACGTCCATTCAAGCTTGATTTCTCATTCTAATCTTATCCTTAATTGCAAAGCTGTCAATGTATCATTGGTATTGTATAAAAATAGTCTTCAGTCGCTAAAAAAGTCGGTGATCTACTTTTCAAGAAGCCCTAGATCATATGACTTTTCTGATTATCATTCTTGCAGGTTCTCCCATTTTAAGTCAAGGTAAGTTTATTTTCTCTCTCGCATTCTTTTTATATTTTTTATCAACTTTTCTGTTTCTCCTATTAAGTATTGAGAAGCAAGAATATGTTATGAGAGACTACACAATGAAATGTGATATCTTGGAAAACATATAGAATTACAATGCTGTCAATTTGTGATTTTAGTTATTCATAGTAAGAAGATAAAAAATATATATATAATTATGTCAAAATTAAAAAAATAGCTAGCCGCCCAAATGTATTAAGAAAAATTATGTGTGTAATTTATTATTTTTGTTCGTTTGTATAGATGGATATTTGAAGGTCTTAGATGCATATATAAGTTTTTCGTATACTTGTACATAACCATTGTCCATCATTTTACTTGTGATTCATAATATTTATTTTTTCAATTCTCTCTCAAGTCCAGGTTTCTTAGTTGATTTGTATTGACCTGTTTTTCAAGATATCTACTAATCTCCCTACGTTGTGGTTATTGAGATGCAGAGGATTGGCGACTAAGCTTAGGAATCTAGATCCAGCTCATTGTAAATGTTGAATTACAATATGTTTGTGTTGTATTTGAAAATACAAACCGTTCTTATATTTTGGAGGTATTGGGTCTATAACAATACTGGAAGATGGTTCAAGTTATAAAATTTGTATATATTAAAAGATGTGACAAATAATAAGAATTCTATTATCTTATTGGCTAAATGATAAGTGACTATTGCTAAAGTGCATACCTGTCTTTTTTTGGTTAAAATTTGCCTGTGCAATTGTATACCTGTCATATTATGATGGTCACCTCAAACTCTAGATTTTCTTGACGTTCAATTGTTTCCATTTCATTAGTTGAACAGTTTATCATTTTCTATGTCCTTGTGTTTTTTCGTGTTCTTGAAATACTTTTACCACTAATATCCTCTGTTTTTTTACTCCTTCCGTTCACTTTTATTTGTCATGTTGCGCTTTTCGAAAGTCAATTTGACTAAATTTTCAAAGTTAAATTAGATTACATTAATTCAATATCTTAAACAAAAAAATTGGATATTCAAAAACTATACGAAACTTACTATAAATTGTAATTTTTTTTGCATATCAATATGATGAAAAAATACATTGTAAAATGTTAGTCAATTTTTTTATAATTTGACTCTAACAAGGAAACTATGACAAGTAATAGTTATTCCCATTTGGGCATTGGAAAGATGAAGCATATCAGTGTAATTTGTGTGATTTGATAATAGTTAGGAATTTTGAAATTTCAAACTTCTATAAAATTTGAATATATAACTTTAAAATTTATATATTTAAAAATTATATTAAATTATAATAATAAACAACTTAAAATACATAAAAATGCTACCAAAAGAAAATTGATTAACTAAAATTATTCTAAAAAGTAAATAGAATAAAAACACTTTCAAAATTTCACTATTTTGTTTAATATTTATTTTTCACTATTTTATTACCTCTTGAGAATTTGTTCCTCTACTATTCACAACATCTTATTTTGCTCTTATGTAAATCATACTATTTCTCATTTATATGCCAAAACAATCATTTTTGAGTAAAGCAATAGCTGGAAAAAAATATTTAGATTGGTACCTTTTAATAAATAATTAGTGATTTTAGCGATACTTTTATTTATTACCATTTATAGCAATACATAGCAATACTATGTTAAATCTGCAATATGTATTAAACGTGAATTATGTATGCAATATATATGTATTATAATTGTTTTTTTAATCATCATTTTATTTAGGGAAAAGGGTCTTATACTCCAACTTTGGCCAAAATTGCTATTACGATACCAAACTTTATGGAGGACCTTTTACCTCCCTGCACTATTTAATAGTGTATTTTAAAGGTATATATGTGCCCATGTGGACACATTACTATTTATAATAATGCAATATTTATGATGTCCACGTGGACACATATATACTTTTAAAATACACTATTAAATAGTGCAGGGGTTAAAAGGTCTTTTCCAAAGTTCGATATTGTTACAACAATTTTGGTCAAAGTTCGGATATATTTCATACCTTTTTCCCTTTTATTTATGGCTTTTGCACAGGGTGTAAATAAAATAAATATATAAATGTATGTTATTAAATACATATTGTAGCAGTATTATGCTAAATTATGTTAAGGCACTTAATTTTGGGTAGTAAGGTAACTTCATAAAGTGTTGGTAGTAAAATAGTTCCACTACAAAGGACTCAATTACTTAAAGAAAACCCTTTCGGATATTTACATTTTGCTTATTGGATGTTGATGCTTTTTCATTAACATTTGTTTTTCTTATAATTGACTTATTTTAAATGAGCAACATTGGTAGGGGATATGATTTAGGTGTCATTTTCAATTCGACAGAATATAGGTAAGAAATCATCAATGAAAAGTTGTAGTGCAATTACTTACTCTTAAGTTAGAATAACAATTTAATTTTGTTAGTGTTGGGCCCGTGCTTGACACGGCCCGTCCCATCTAGTATTTAATAAAATGACACTACTAAGCAAAAGTTATCAATTGACGTGTTGGTTCATGAGTTGATTATGCAATTTGAGTTACTTGTAAGTACGATAATTTTTTTTTCTTCTATAAATACCAACACCATCTTTTCAAAAATATTGCGTACGTCATTGTCACCGATCATCCCTTATTAATGGTTCATAAGAGGAATAATTGATCGGAATGATTGCAATAAAACACATTGAAATACCATTATTTAGAGATGAAAAGGTAGAGATCACAGAATGATGAAACAATCACGCCTTGCTTTGCTCTAGACAATCTATTGAAAGAAAACCTCCTTTTAGAATGCATTCACTATTTTCAATGTGATTAATTATCAAAATTTGTCAAAATAATATTTCGTATGACTATGCAATTAGCTCGACTCTAATAGTAATTAATCCGTCCCAAATACCAATATCTACTAACATTCTTTCCCTAATGTTTAATAGATATTCCTACGGAGTTTATTTTTTGAATATAATATAAAGTACACCTTTCTCTGCCGGGAAGAACAATACACACAGACACTGTGTATTGTGCACTGATATCGAGCAATGTATTGGGTTACGGCGAAAAACGTCGCCGTTTCAGTTCCCCGTTGGCGTTCACTGTCCCTTTTCCTCCGTCCACCACTTCGCCAGCGTTTCTTCTCTTTCTCTCCACATACTCTGTAAGTTCTTCCATTTTCTTGCATAAAGTTTAAAGCTTTTTATGTATTTGTTTCTTGGTGTGGAGAAAAGGTCACTACTAATTGATGGGTTAGTTAAGGGTGGGGTGGTTTGTGGAAGCTCAGAAGACAAGAATTTGTTATCTTGTTTGAAAAAGTTGGGATTTTTTCTACTTGCATAAAGATGAAAGCTTTTTATGTATTTGTTTCTTGGTGTGGAGAAAAGGTCACTAATTGATGGGTTAGTTAAGGGTGGGGTGGTTTGTGGAAGCTCAGAAGGCAAGAATTTGTTATCTTGTTTGAAAAAGATGTGATTTTTCTACTTGCATAAAGTTGAAAGCTTTTTATGTATTTGTTTCTGGGTGTGGAGAAAAGATCACTAATTGTTGGGTTAGTTAAGGATGGAGTGGTTTGTGGAAGCTCAGAAGGCAAGAATTTGTTACCTTGTTTGAAAAAGATGTGATTTTTCTACTTGCATAAAGTTGATTTTTTTTTATGTATTTGTTTCTGGTTGTGGAGAAAAGATCACTAATTGTTGGGTTAGTTAAGGATGGGGTGGTTTGTGGAAGCTCAGAAGGCAAGAATTTATTACCTTGTTTGAAAAAGATGTGATTTTTCTTCTTGCATAAAGTTGAAAGCTTTTTATGTATTTGTTTCTGGTTGTGGAGAAAAGATCACTAATTGTTGGGTTAGTTAAGGATGGGGTGGTTTGTGGAAGCTCAGAAGGAAAGAATTTGTTATCTTGTTTGAAAAAGATGTGATTTTTCTACTTGCATAAAGTTGAAAGCTTTTTATGTATTTGTTTCTGTATTTGGAGAAAAGATCACTAATTGTTTGGTTAGTTAAGGGTGGGGTGGTTGTGGAAGTTCAGAAGGCAAGAACTTGTTATCTTGTTTGAAAAAGATGTGATTTTTCTTTTTCTTTTTCTTGTATATGTTATTTGTAGGAAGACCTAGAGGCCCTAATATATTGTTTCATTTTCTTCTTTGTGTGTTTGTATTGGAGAGTTGAGTGAAGCCTATTAGTTAAGTTTTTTTTTTCTTTTTTGGTTTCCCATTCAGTGTTCGGTACCTGCGTTGGTAAAGCGCTTCCTAACAAAGTCGACTTTGTAACCAGGACACTCGAACCCGAGACCTTTGGTTATGGATGAAGAAGTACTTACCACTCCATCACAACTCTTGTTGGTGCCTATTAGTTAAGTTGCTTAAGCTTTAGAAAGGGCGGAGCTAGTAAGGGCCCAGGGGTTTATCGGAACCTCTTTGGCGGAAAATTACATTATTTATACATGATTAAAATTAATTTTTTTATGTATATATAGTGGATATTGAACTGCCTTTGAATTCTTCGTGGGTTTAGTTCTTCATATTTTGAACCCCTTAGTAAAAAAATTGGCTTTAGTCTCTGATGCATAAATGAGGGCCGTTCCATTTTTATTTTTTGATCTACCAACTAGTACCCTTTTTTATTAGGCTGGTCTTTTGTGAGGATGTGGGGTGGTGGTGGTGGTGTGAGACTGTATCGTGGATTTTGAGAGGAGGGACTCAATGCTTCGTGAAGTTGAAAGAGGATCCAAATGCAGTAAGGTTATCAATAAGAGGAACCAAATGCAGTAAATCTTTTTGAAATTAATTGCGCTTATTTTGAGTACAAGAAACAGGGATACAGAGGTTCTGAACAGCGGTTCCATGTGCGCTCATCAAGGTTGATGTTTTCAATCGTTAGTACCTGAAAATTCACTTCTGTAATTGGAAATGAGAAAGTTAATTGAATTCGCTGTCATTCTTTATTTCAAATTGTTGGATTTCACTGTTAAAATTGACACATAGTCATGCTACTTTCTTTTTTGATAAAGTAATAAGTTTTATTAAGAAAGGGCAAAAGCTTGCCTGTATACAAGAAGTATATCTAAAGTAGAAAACCTCACAAGAGGACATGTTTTTTTTTACAAATAACACCCACTCATCTATGCATGTAGGAATCCTATGGGTGCACCAAAAAGAAATAAGAGAAAACAGGCTATTCTTCAAGTAAACAAAGTCTTTCTCTATTCCCTCAAAAGCTCCTCTATTCCTCTCTTGCTATGTGATCCACATAAATGCTAGAGGAGCAACATCTCATGCCTTGTAGAATTATTAGGATCCTTGTAAGTATTTTTTTTTCTCTTCTTTTGTTCCCCTCTGTTTGCAGGTCACCAGCATATCCTATGCTGAAGAGTACAACATTACCATTTTCAAAAAATAAAATATAATATTGTTTCTTTCACAGTGCTCGCCATCACCCACTCAAGGATGAACCATCCAGAATTTCCCACCAAAAACAAGAAGCTATCCGACAATGTAGATGAAGGTGATTCATCTTCACCTAATTCTTTGCACATGAAACACCAACTGGCACTAGTTATCTTTCTCTTCCTCAAATTCTCCGCTGTCAGGATCACTCACCTTGTAGCTAGCCAAGTGAAAAAACATACCTTTCTTAGTTCCGATATATGTGGAAAATCACCTAATCATGCTACTTTCACGTCAGGGTGACTAGTTCTGCCCAAGCTTCCACCTTTTTCTACTTCAGACCAATGGAGTTTTCTGGAGTTTAGCTAGATCAAAAGCATGAATGAAGGATAAACTAAATTTGGCCCCCAACTCGCGCCAATGCTGCTTCAACCCTTTTTTCCAAAAGTTATAGTACTATTGGAAGGTAGCCGGTGAACATTTTTGGTGAATCATTACAATAGTATGGTGTTGTATGTGGCACCTTTCTTGCATAGTATGGTGTTGTATGTGGCACCTTTCTTGCCCAAACATTAATCAAATTTGTTACTTTCTAAATTAAGAATAAGTGCAGGTGATTCATTTTCAAAAAGTTCACGCAGGAGTAGGACACTCATACAACCCTTTCCGATCCGCTAGCTTGGTGATCCTACTAAATCTCATTTTTCCATTTAACTGTAAATGAGCCGACTCATACTAAGAACTTAGAGCTCTCTCTAAATTGAAAAAAAATTATCTACGAGAAACCCTTAGCTCTCCTATTTGACGAGGCTATCAAAGAGTAGCAGCTGATGTGATTCCATACTTGATGCATTACTTTTGTATAAGGGTGACTTTATAATCTTTGTTGTCTTAAAAAGGGAAAGTAAGATAGGTATCACTCGTTGAGTAGTCTCTCACCATTGCTTTATTCCTTCCATGTACACCATTTCTTTGTGAATGCTCTGTATGCTTCTTGTTGTGAAGTAACAACCAGTTTCAGGTTCTCCTTGAGGCACCGTGTGAGCAGAGATTTGAATAAACTCGATTTGAGGCTCAATGGTGCATTACAAGATAAGATAAATAAATAGATGAATAATATAAGAAGCGAATGACTCTCTCTTCTAATATAACCGATTTCCTCCACAGTAAGTCAGCGTCTGATAGATTATCTAATCCCTTGCAATCCTAGTTACTAGCGGGGTGCAGGGGCGTAGCTAGAGCTAGTTGGACACCCTTTGTCGGAAAATTAAGTTGTATATATTTGTCAAATTCTACATTTAAAGGATATATATTTAAAGTTGGACACCCTTGACAAAAGTTATGCTTTTGGCGTAGTGGTAATAGGTGTCCATTTAAATGAAGAAGTTCCGGGTTCGAACCCCAAATAGCACAATATTTTTTTGTTTTATTTTGACAGCCACACACCATTATTCTTGGACACCTTAATAAATTTTTTGTCTCCGCCACTGAGCGGGGGTTTAGTTTATTAACTGAAAACTTGCTCTTTCAGCCATGGAATTAGGAGCTTTCTCTTCCGTGTTTATAATTTCTGAAACTTTCATACCTGGTGGTTTTGATACTGTCTTGTTTGGGTTTGATGCACTATTAAAGCCTGCATCTTTCATATTTTGGACAAGTTGTAGAAGGTTTCTTGAAACTGCATCTAGGTCTTTATATCAGTTTGAGGCTGAATCACTGATAGCTACTGCACCTGTGATGTTTTTTAAATGGTTTATGGAAAGATAAAGCTTTGAGGACTGAATAAGTAGAAGTAGAAGGCTTTAAGGTGTAAAGAGGATCAGAGTTTTTCTTGTATATTTGATCGTTAACTGAGAATTCTTAAATAGAGGAATAATCAATGACTTATGGCTGATGGCATACATAGTGCTTGCCTACAGGTTGTTGCGAGTTGGACGCACTTAAGATATTTGTGAAATAAGGAAGTTCCTTTTTATCATTCTAAGTTTCGGGATTAGATTATATGTGCTTCTTTTGATTAAATTATTTCATATAACTCTCATATCAACTACTGATGACAAATTTCTGGATCCAAATAAATTTTGTTTGCAATTTCTGTCACCCATTGAGTGTCAGGTGCCGAGAGCAGATACGTTACTTGAAGGAGCGGAAGTTTTTTGCCACAACGGCAAAAAAACTCAAACAACCAAAAAGTGTTCCAGAGGAAAAAGACTATGTTAATATTATGTGGTGGAAAGAGGTTGTCTACATTTCTCTTCATGACTGGGTTGATTTATTGCAGAATTTAAATATGTGATTCTTTTCCTTTTTTTAACAAGTGCAAACAATTGTTTAATAAGTGTATAATGTTATGCCACCATGATTTTATGTTTTAGAGAATGGAATTCTTGAGAAAGCCTTCTTCTGTTCTACTGGCTAAGAGGCTTACATATTGTAACTTGCTGGGTGTGGATCCGAGTTTGAGAAATGGAAGGTTAGTTCTTTCATGTTGTCTTTTGATCCTTCCTTTAGGAAATCTTTAAACTAGTTTTTCTTCCAATTCAGAGAAGAGTTTAATCATGGGTTTTGGGTGAATCTCAATCCTTACCATTTCAAAAGGAAAAAAAAGAGAGAAGGGTTCTGGGAGAATTTCTTTGTTTTTCTCCATAAACTCAACTACAGGTTTTAATTTGTAAATCTACATGAATAGATTTTCTGTATTTCTTAGTTTATTCTATGAGAAATATAAGAGAAATATTATTGAATTGTGTTGTATCTAAATTATTATAGAGAGACCCTATTTATAGACACTACAGTACAATCCTTTACCAAGTAGGATACTATTTACTACTCCTATTTCTATTCGTATTCCTATTCCTATTTAAGTAGGATTGTATATACCTATTCCTATTCTAACATTTTCCTCTATAGATTGGAATCTAAAGCTCCGCTGAGAAAAGTTTTAGACTTTCTTTGAGATCTCCTCGTTTTTCCTTATTGATATTCTTGTTGTCTGCACATTCATGATTTAATATCCTCATATAGATATAATCTTGTCAGAAATGAGTTGTTGAGTTATGAAAATGCAAACTCCAATATCTAAGTATTTCAATTTTGTCATGCTGAATTTTTCTGCCTATACTCGTATGGATATAAATATATTAAGAGAAAAATATTGAAAACACCCTTGAACTTGTTGCAAATTATTAGTTCCGTACGAACTGTTGACAACCTTAAAAACACCCCTCTACTTGACTAGCTCAACTTAGATACACCCCTGATATACAACATGACATAGTAAGTGGTCTCAAACTCTTGTAGGAGCATAAGACTCTTAATAAAAGGCTGAGAGGAGTGTTGAAAACACCTCTAAACTTGGCGAAAATTTAGGGATGTATTTCACTCATGTTGCAAGATCGGGGGTGTATTTAAATTCAGTTAGTCAAGTAAAGGAGTGTTTTTGTGACTGTCAATAGTTTGGGAATGAAACTAATAGTTCACGCCGAGTTTAGGGGTGTTTTCAATACTTATATCATATATTAATAAATATGTGCTAAATGATGGTTGTGAGAAATATAGGAAAAGAATATTATTGAATTGTTGTTGTTTACATTATTACATTAAGACCCTATTTATAGACCCTAGAATACAATCCTTTACCAAGTAGGATACTATTTAGTATTCCAATTTCTATTTCTATTCCTATTCCTATTCTAATAGGATTGTATAAACCTATTCCTATTCTAATAGGATTGTATAAACCTATTCCTATTCTAATAGGATTGTATAAACCTATTCATATTCTAACACTCCCCCTCAAGCTAGTGCATACAATTCATGTACCTAGCTTGTTACAAATGTAATTAACACGAGGATCGATGAGGGGCTTGGTGAGACATCTGCGAGTTGATCACTGGACTTCACAAAATTGACAATAAATTTCAATGTGCTTGATCTTCTTATGAAATACTGAATTTGATGCATAATGCCGATAAAACATAGAGTGATAAAATTACAGTGTTGGAACTTCCCAAACCAAACTTGCAAAGACTGTTTCAGACCATAGAGTGACTTACGTAATCAACATACAAGGCTACTAAACTCCCCCTGAGCAACAAAATTAGGTGGTTGCTCCATATAGACTTCTTCACAATGCAGCGAACATTGTAAGTGCTCAAAATCTAGTATAAAGTACATGGTTCATGTTGGAATCAATAGATAGTTGATATTAAACAAGTCACCGAAAAACTGCCCGAAACATGCTCATATGCCGGAGTATTGGATTTGATGGGTAAAAGTGGTCACAATCTAAGAAATAAAATTATATGGGTAGGGTCGGAATGATGTCACGACCCAACTAGAAAATAGAAATTATATAGGATAGTTTGAATTGATGGAACGACCCCATTGAAAAAGAGAAATAATATGGGTAGGGTTGGAATGATGGCACGACCCTACTGAAAAAGAAAAGTAATATGGGTAGGGTCGGAATGATGGCACGACCCTACTAAAAAAGAAAAATTATACGGGTAGGGTTGGAATGATGGCACAACCCTATGCAAATCAAATTTAAGGAGTCACCGGAAAGACGAATGGAGTTATGCAAATCAAACCTGAGGAGTCACTGAAAAGACACATGATGCTATGCTACTCAGATATGAGAAATAGTTCGGAAAAATCCACGGTACTACACAAATTAAATATGAAAAGTAGTCCGGAGAGATGCACGGTGCTACGCAAATAAGATATGCAAAAAAAGGTAGTCACCAGAAGGATGGCACGGTGCTACACAAATTATATATGAAAAATGAGTCATTGGAATGATGGCACAGTGCTACACAAACTAGATATGAAAAAGTAGTCACCAGAATGATGGCACGGTGCTACACAAATTAAATATGAAAAAGCAGTCACCGGAATGATGGCACGGTGCTACACAAATTAGATATAAGAAAGTAGTCACTAGAATGATGCATGGTGACCCAACTTTTGCTAACATAATCATTTGCCAGACGGGCAACATATATGGGTGCCACCCGCCGGCAGTGGAAGCTCTTTAATTCTCTACCAAGTTCGTAGAGGCTCTGATACCATGTTAAATTAGGTCTTTGCCCGAACTCACACCCCAAAAGCTAGCTCAAAGGGAGGAGGATTGCCCAAGCCTTATAAGGAGTCCACCCATCTCATTAACCACCGATGTGGACTTTTGTCATTCTTTAACACCTCACCTCACGCCCAGTGCTTAGCATGGTTGACAAGCTTTGCAAATTGCGCGAAAACCCATAATGATGTTCTTTTCAGCATGGTTCCCTAATCCATATCAGAAATCAAATATTACATTTTGAACCCATAATAATATTATTTGATTTCTGACATGGTTTAGGAAACCTTGTTTAAAAGCAAAATGAATCCAGGCTGCAACAAATTCGTCCAAAAAACAATTGTAGGGCACAGTTCAAGTTTGACCTTATCAAGAAGCAAAAAATAGTTATGTACAGACTACTAACTGTCAGATCTACACACAGACATGTAAAAGTTTACACATATGTGTAATATACATATGCTTATGTCTCCCTGTGTCTTTGTTTGTCTATTACTTGTCTCATATGACTTAAGTTTTTTACTGAAGGCTACCTTTGTAAATTTATCATATGCTTATGTCTCTTTGTGCTTTTGTCTATCTATTACTTCAATTTTTTTTACCAAAGGCTACCTTTGTTAATTTATCAGTCTTAAAGAGGGAACACTTAACTCGGAGATGTTGCAGTTCAAGTCAAAATTTCCACATGAAGTTTTGCTCTGTAGAGTATGGTTTTACCGCTTTCATCTACTCTTCTTTTAAATGTGCTTGAAAGTCACATATTAGTTCCTCAATTAATGAGGACTGCTGTGATCAAAATCAATGAAGAGTGCTTCTTGTTCTTCTTTGACTTTCCAGGTAGGTGATTTTTATGAAGCAATTGGATTCGATGCTTGTATTCTTGTGGAATATGCTGGTTTAAATCCATTTGGTGGCCTGCGCTCAGATAGTATACCAAAAGCTGGTTGTCCAGTTGTGGTACTGTTTTCATTTTCTTTTTATATATATGTTTTTTTATTTTTATTTTCCGTTCAAAAGGTTTATACATTACATGGATTACATATTTTGCATGAATGGACCTCCATGCTAATGTAGGGTTCTGAACCGATTTCTCTTGTGAACCAGATTTGTGACCATGTAAACCAAGCTTGAGGCTGGATTTGTTTTCTTTACCTCCTTTAACAGGGTTAAGAAGCTCTTAGTTATGTCTAAGCTGTTAATATGCCAATGAAATAGGAAATCATTTGATTTTCTCATTTTATTTCCTTGCCTTTACTGTTTTTTATTACTTTCAAGCATAACTGGTTCCCTCTTTTTGAAGCTCGTTGAGTGAAAATACCTTTGACTGCCTTTTCCTTGAATTTGTTCCTATTCAATATCGACATAAAATAAAATTTGTACACTTCTATTCTGTCATCTTCCTGCACAATTATACCCGAGAAACTGCCAGCAGAGTATGCTGAGTTTTCTGATGTCCCTAAGTTGTTTTTTCAAGATAAATTTATGGTATTTATTTACTTTTATTCCTTCTCTCGTTGTCATGTAAACTGTGTCATTTTTTGTTCTTTTTTGCAGAATCTAAGACAGACGTTGGATGATCTCACACGTTATGGTTTCTCTGTGGTTAGTGCCATCCCCAAACTGTCAGTTGGAACTTTCATTATCCCTTTTGTTGGATAAGTTCTTATATATTTCTAATATACATGGGAGGTGAAGTGGAAATTTATATTGGTATGTTAATGAACTTGTCAGAGTTGGCTTTTTCTCTTGAAGAATTAAAATGATGTCTTTTGTTAGTGAAGTTATGATCTGATTAATGTCTTGAAGTGCTAATTTCTTATGATGTTCTTTCGACCATTTGACTTGATATCTTCCTACTTCTTCCCTCCTAATCTTTTTTCCACATATAGCTTCAAGTGCCTCTCTGTCCTCACTTCCTTTTAGTCATGCACAAAACAGATTTAGTAATTTGTACAGCTGTGTAATGTTTGCATTTGTAGTGTGTCGTGGAGGAAGTTCAGGGTCCAACTCAAGCTCGTGCTCGTAAGAGCCGATTTATATCAGGGTAATTACTTATGAATAGCTCAAGATTTCTTATAAGTACAATTTTATTTGTGGGTGCGATTATACAGTTTTTATTTTTATATCACTTGGATTTTTCCATGTCAGTTGAATCTACTAATTAATGTCTGCTAAGATGCAAAAATGTTAGTTGTGAGAAATCAGTAAAGCTTTTCAGCATGCTAGCATAACCAAAGTATCTTACATATTCGTAAGATCTACATCACCAACATTTTTATACTCTTAGAAAGGATGCTGAATGATCCTAATATGTGGCGTATTGTTCTCAATATTTTAGGCATGCACATCCAGGCAGTCCCTATGTTTTTGGCCTTGTTGGAGATGATCAAGATCTTGATTTTCCAGATCCAATGCCTGTTGTTGGTATGACAGAGCAAATTTTTCTTGCATAAGTTGGTTTCTCTTGCTATTTAGTTTTAAAGCTAAATAATTGCTGCCCATGCATGGAACATGTTAATAATTTTGCAAGCAGAGAGTCATTGGTGATGTTTACGTCCAAGCCTGACTTCTTACTTTTTTCAGTATTCATAATGCTGACCTTGTGTTTATCAATATTTTCCCAGCAAATGCACTGTCCAGCTTTGACCTCTGTCATGACTGCTTGACCACTTATTCTCCAGCTAAAAGCCAGAATATGGCAAGCAACTAATCTCTCCAAGCTAATTTGGGTAGACTTTTTTTTTAATCAAGAAAAAGTATTCTCATTCATAAACATGACCAAAACGGCCTATACAAAGGTTATACCAAAAGATATGATACCCTGCAAACTCCACCCAATCCTCTATAAGTTCCGTTTACACCAAAAGAAAATAAGGGAGCGGAGACTACTCCTCAACTGCAAGAAACTTGACTCTACACCTTCAAAAGCTCTCCTATTTATCTCTCCAAACAACCCACGTTAATGCAATTAGAACCACGTTCGAAGTCCTTTGGCTTTTCCTCCTCCCGCTCGTCCAACTGAGCATCGAAATCTTTCATGGTTCTTGGTATTGTCCAAGGAGTGAGAAATCATCTAAACATATCCCACCATAATCTTATGGTAAGACCGCAATGTTGAAGAAGGTGATCCATATCCTCGCCCGCCTCGTTGCACATGTAAGACTGATTGACGCAGACAACCTTCTGCTTTCTAAGATTTTCCATTGTCAAAATAACCCCTCTAGTGGCTAGCCAAGTAAAAAAACACACCCTCCTAGGCACACATGAATCATCACTATCTGTTCCTCTCCATTGGACCCATTTCATTCCAAGATTTTATAATTCAGAGCTTTCCTATGCTAGAAATCCTATTCTACTGACTAGTGACTGCTCCCTTGATCACTTAAGTAGCAAACAATTTTTTTGTTCATTAGCACCTCATATTTATTAGTTATGAAAGATTAAGAAATTTCACTTGCAAATCACAAACTAAGATTCTTATTTGGTGGGTACAGGAATATCCCGTTCAGCGAAGGGGTATTGCATTATCTCTGTTTATGAGACTATGAAGACTTACTCTGTGGAGGATGGCCTAACTGAAGAAGCCGTAGTCACCAAACTTCGTACTTATCGATGCCATCATTTGTTTTTGCATAATTCATTGAAGAACAATTCTTCAGGTTTGCAGATTGCTCTTTTGTTTTTACTGTTGCTAAATAGGGAGTTAAGTAGCTCGGCTAAGGGACCTAATACCCACATACTCTGGCATTCTAGTTATAGTTGCATATATTTGTTTGGATGTATGTAGGTGAAGTTAAATTTGAGATAGAGACCAATTCACCGTGTCTCTGTAGGAGAACAATTTGGTTTGATTGCATACAGTATGGTCCCAATGGCTTTTTGAAATTTAGAACTTTAGGGGTAGAGGCCCAACTGTGCTCATGGAAATTAGTAGAATAAAATACTATTTTTGATCCGTATAAGATACAAAGTTCCACCTGAATGAACTTATCAAAGAAATAAGAAGTCTCACCGGAATGACATCGACAAGGTGTCCTGTGAGAAATATAGGAGAAAAATATTATTGAATTGTTGTTGTGTACATTATTACATTGAGACCCTATTTATAGACCCTAGAATACAATCCTTTACCAAGTAGGATACTATTTAGTATTCCTATTTCTATTTCTATTCCTATTCTAATAGGATTGTATAAACCTATTCCTATTCTAACACTCCCCCTCAAGCTAGTGCATACAATTCATGTACCTAGCTTGTTACAAATGCAATTAACTTGAGGACCGATGAGGGGCATGGTGAGATATCTGTAAGTTGATCAGTCGACTTCACAAAATTGACAGTCAATCTCAATGTGCTTGTCTTCTCATTAAATACTAGATTTGATGCATAATGTCAGTCAATCTCAATGTGCTTAATCTTCTCATGAAATACTGAATTTGATGCATAATGCGATAAAACACAGAGTGATAAAATTACAATGTTGAACTTCCCAAACCAAACTTGCAAAGACTGTTTCAGACTATAGAGTGACTCACATAATCGACATGCAAGGCTACTAAGCTCCCCCTGAGTTGCAAAGTGCTCAAAATCTAGTATAAAGTATGTGGATCATGTTGGAATCAATAGATAAGTCGATATTAAACAAGAAAGTCACTAAAAAATTGGTTAGAACATGCTCATACGCCGTAGTATTAGATTTGATGGTTGAAAGTGGTCACAATCTAAGAAATAAATTATATGGGTAGGGTCGGAATGATGTCACGACCCAACTAGAAAATAGAAATTATAATAGGATAGTTCGAATTGATGGAACGACCCCATTGAAAAAGAGAAATAATATGGGTAGGGTTGGAATTATGGCACGACCCTACTGAAAAAGAAAAGTTATACGGGTAGGGTTGGAATGGTGGCACAACCCTACGCAAATCAGATTTGAGGAGTCACCGAAAAGATGAATGGAACTATGCAAATCAAATTTGAGGAGTCACTGAAAAGACACATGATGCTATGCAACTCAGATATGAGAAAATAGTTTGGAAAAATCCACGGTACTACACAAATTATTCGAATGCAACATATAAAAGTAGGTGGTGTTGTTAATACTCCCATGCACAGCTCCCAAGGGGAACCTGTCCTAGGTTCTCTCTCTTACTTCGTTTGATCCTTTTCCGGCAACTCCTATCGGAATTAGTTTTTTTTACCATGGGGGACAAAATTATTTACTTTGCGGTGGAATTTTAATCATACGATCTCTTAGTATGGGTGACAGGGTATGCTTTTTCATTTCCAGTGATAAGTCTTTTGAAATAAATGATATCAGTGAAGGTTCTTTTAGGTGGTTCTTGTTCAAGGAGTTCAGTAGTCGGTTTGTCAGTAAGATTAAGATCGACGAAGTCATTTTAAGATGGGTATGCAGTGTTATGAGATTAGCTTGCAAAGGTGTTGGGGACCTTTATAGAAGATGGGGCAGGCTTAAGGAGGGGGATCTGTTCAGAGTTTATCAGAACTTCAACTCTTATGGGAGATTTCTTCGAGTAGAAACATTGAGGGGCCAAAGAAAATCAGCTATTATCATCCCGGAGATGGATTACAATGTAGGGTGGAGTGATTTAGCCGACAAAATTATCAGATCTTTGGGTGAGCCAGTTAACCCAGTTCTCCGGAAGTTTGTCACCCCAGGGAAATCTTTCATGGATGCTGCAAATATCCAGAAATGGCCAGTCATGAGCTCTCAGTCTCATTCTGAATTGGAGAATCTACAGGAATACTTGCAGTGTTGCTTAATTGGAACCTTCAATGACCCTTTCAGCTCGAGTCCAAATCCAACAGTCATCCATCAGTGGTTCCTGAAAAGGTGGAAGATGACGGCAGGGTTGCGTGTCTTACAACTCACACATAACCAGATGATGTTCGAGTTTCCATCTAGGCAAGAAACGGAGAGGATAATAATGGGGGAATGGTTTTGGAATGGGAGAAGATTATCACTTGAGTGGTGGTCTCCAGAATCAGGGACAGATAACTCTAAAAAAGAATTAGTAGCAAATCAGAGGTGGATTAGGGCTTTTGGCATCCCGCTTCACGCATGGTCGGAAAAGTCGCTGAAATTTATCGGGGACTGTTGTGGTGGTTATATCGGTGCAGATGAGGACACAAAGAAGAGAAATCATATTCTTTGGGCTCGGATTTGTATTCCAGCAGTAGCACGAGAACCTCCACACAAAATTGATTTGAGAGTAGGCAGCAAAATTTATGAAATATCCATTATTGCTGATGCCTTCTCGAAAATCTCAGTTGCCGGTGATTCTGATGAACAGGGTTTTAACCAGCGGTCCAAACAAGTTTGTGTCTCGAAAACTGAGCAGTCTATCAATTCAAATTTGAAATCTGCTGATGTCCCTAGGGTTGGGCCCAAAAAACCTAAGACAACCTTGGGCCAACTTAAAGCAAAGGCCCAATTGCAGCAGAAGACTCCAGACCAAGTTTATGTTTTTCAGAATGAGCAGCCTATTGATTCAAATCTCAAATCAGCTGAGGACCTTAGGGTTGGGCCTAAAAATTCTAAGACAACTTTGGGCCAACTTAAGGCAAAGGCCCAGTTGCAGCAAAAGACTTCAGACCATCTTTATTATTCAAGGAGGAAAAAGGGGAACTTGCATCTCAATAAAAAGAAGGAGATATTAAAGGAGTGGAAGGCTATTAGACCAGCCCAAGCCCAATCTATAGTGGCAGAGACACAAAAGCTTTCGGAACGACAGTCGAATGCTATGTTGTCTCAAAAGCCATTGTTGGCTCCCCTAACGCAAACTAATTCTCTTGATGAGTGGGAGGGAGACGCAGACGACGAAGCTGAATGCATGCGACCTCTATCTCTTCTCTCTCTTCCTCCTATCCACTCTGTTTTCTCTATTGGGTATTCTCAAGATTCAGGTTTCTCTTCCCCAATTAGTAGCGACACTTTGTCACTACCCTGGTCTGGTGACAGCTTGGAGGAACAGGTTATTTCACACCCGACAGTTATCGAAACCTCCCATTGGACCAAGATGGTGATGACTAAAGCTTGTAAAGCCTTTGGGGTCAATTTAGTGGGGTTTGAGCACGAAATCTTCGATATGATACTGCGAATGGAACAAAAGAGGAAGTTACAGTTGCAGAAATCAAAGGGGAAAGAGCAACAGAAGAAAAGATCAAAGGAAAAGGGTGAGATTGTGGCCAAGAAGTTGCAGTGCACAATTAATTATGAGAATGGAGAAGGGTCAAGTAGGGGCAGGTTCCACAAGGCTTTCTCGGAATGAAAGCAAAAATTATCAGTTGGAATATAAGGGGGCTTAATGATATAAGCAAAAGAAGCACCATCAAGCTACTTATTCAAAAATGGAAGCCTGACATCTTGTGTTTACAGGAAACAAAAACAGAGTGTTGTTCTGTGGCAATAGCAAGACATATTTGGGGATCAAGATGGGTCGAATGGGTTGAATTGAAAGCAAGTGGTACCAGGGGTGGCATTATTATTTTGTGGGACAAAAGACAATGGAAATGCTTAGACTCTTACCAAGGGCAGCATACTCTTTCGGCCATGTGGGAGGGTTTGCAGGTGGACTTCAGATTCTGTTTCTCTGGGGTGTATGGACCTCACTCAACTCCAGAAAGGTTTGACCTATGGGATGAGTTGGCTGCTGTCAGAGGCATTTGGGATGGATGTTGGGTCATAGGTGGTGACTTTAATGTATGTAGATATGAACATGAGAGGTACAATTGTATAAGGAGATCCCAGGACATGAAGGACTTCTCTGAATTTATTCAAGACATGGGTCTTATTGATCTCCCCTTGCATGGTGCAACTTATACATGGACAAGGGGAGAGGATTTTCTGCAGGCTTCCAGAATTGATAGGTTCTTAATTTCCACTGAATGGAATGAATTCTTTGGAGTTGTGAAGCAGGTGGCCCTGCCAAGGGTTCTCTTCGACCATAGTCCCTTAGCCCTAGAGAGTGGCGATTGGACTTCTGATCCTTCCTACTTCAAATTCGAGAACATGTGGCTGCAGCATGAAGGTTTTCATGATATGGTCAAAAATTGGTGGCAAGGTTATATAGTAAATGGCTCTCCAGACTTTATACTCTCCCAGAAATTAAAATTTTTGAAGAAAGACCTTGTTACCTGGAACAAGGAGGTCTTTGGTAAGCTAAATTCCAGAATCAGTAAAGCCATGGATGATCTTCTGCTGACAGAACAAGCAACTGAAGGAAGGGTTCGGTCTCAAGTTGAAAAGAACAAAATATTGCAATTACAACTAGAGATTCAACAATTAGCAAAGGCAGAGGAAACCTCTTGGAGACAAAAATCGCGGTGTCTATGGTTAAAAGAGGGGGATAGGAATACAAAATACTTTCAAAGAATAGCCAACTCCCACTGGAGATACAACCACATTGACAGATTGCAGGTAGGAGATGACCTCATTGAAGGAAAAGAGCAGGTGAAAGAGGTAATTCTTGACTTCTACCAAGAGTTATACTCTGAAAACGAATCATGGAGGCCTACTGCTTCTTTTGAGGGCCTGGGCAGTTTGAGTTCTGAAGAGAAGAATGCTTTGGAGCAGGCCTTTGAAGAAGAAGAAATATTGAATGCAATCAACTCATGTGCCCCAGACAAGAGTCCAGGG